TCAAGACTTCCGGGTTACTGCTTCCGATATATTTTTACGCCGCAGATTGAAAAAACGCGCCATCATATTATTGCATCATATCTTTTGCAGTATTTCACATGTACCGAGTTCTTTCTTTCAGCCTTTAAACTTCAGCATTATAATATTAATATTATAATCATTAGAATATTTTCTAATTAGGCTAACTTAAAAAGATATTTTTTGGCGACATTTTATTTAAATGTAGCCAAATAAGGGATAAAATACAAAACATGGCAAACCTTAAGAACTATTCACAATGAAATACTAACTTTCCAAAGTTTTTTTTGGCTTTACGACCTCTGAGAATCAATACATTTCTGAGAGCTCTTATGAATGGTACAATTATTTTTAGATTTGAACCCAAATTACATTAACAAAACTGCATAGAATATTAGGCTTGTTCACACATCGCCTCGTAGTCATAACATTAGTGGAGGGATACACCGGAAATTTTCTAGATTTCTTCCGGTTTGAGGACGCTTGTTATTGTTTACATTAGGCCACCCATCCATACGCTTTTGTCACTAATCTACACAAGCTACAAGCAAATACAGTTAATGTCATTGCTGTTAGAAGACTTGTTTACATGCATTCCGAAGATCCGTCTGTATTTCTGGGGTTTTGTTTTGAAACGATCTCGATAACAATTGATAAATCCATATATTATAATGGTGATATTATTTATTTGAAACCTTTTTTATCTGATGTTATCTAAAACATTTATTTAAAATGTCTTACTTTCTCCATTCAATACTGGAGAAAATAATAGTACCATATTAGTTCCTACAAATAAGCATTTGCTAGTAATAATCTAAATAAACACATTCCTTTTTATTCTAAAAATAATCCAAAATGGTTCTCTGAGTGTGATTAAACTTGCTCATAGTGGAAAAAGTCTTTATGCGGAGTGTGTGCTTCAATTTCGCAAAGTTTTATTCAGGGGGGAAAAAAGAGAAAGAAATATAAAAAAAGCATTAAAATTTACATACAGAAATATAAAACGATTCATTCTGAAGAATAGACATAATAGTGCAGTATGTTTAACGAAACATTCACGTGTGGTGAGAGTTCAAATAAACATTCTCTTGTTTGTAACAAAGATAAAAAGAATTCATGCTGGAAGTGCAATAAAACATTCAAACGGAAAGCCAGTTTAACGAAACACTATCTTATTCATACAGGAGATAAACGATTTTCTTGTAGTGTGTGCAGTAAAATATTCACACAAAAATCCAGTTTAATTACTCACTATCTTACTCATACCGGAGAAAAACCTTTTTCATGCAGTGTATGTGATAAAACATTCACACGGAAAGCTTATTTAAATAAGCACTATGTTACACATACCGGGGAAAAACCTTATTCTTGCAGTGAGTGTGATAAAGCATTCACTCAGAAAAGAGGTTTAGATATTCATCTTCTTACTCATACTGGAGAAAAACCTCATACATGCAATGTATGTGATAAAACTTTTGCTCTGAAAACTAATTTGAACAGACACCACCTAGTTCATATTGGGGAAAAACTTTATTCATGCAGTGTATGCAATAAGACATTCTCACAGAAAATACAAGCAACTAAACATGCTCTTGTTCATGCTGAAGAAACTCCTTATTCCTGCAATATAGAGGATAAAACATTCTCAAATCAAAGAAGTTTAAATGAACACCATGCTACTAAAGAAAAGCCTCATTCATGTGGACAGTGTGATAAATCTTTTACAAAAAAATCTAATTTAATGAGACATTATCTCATTCATACTGGAGAAAAACCTCATTCTTGTAGTATTTGTGGTAAATCTTTCACAGAGAAAAGAAGTTTGAATGAACATTATCTTGTTCATACTGGAGAGAAACCCTATCCATGTAATGTGTGTGATAAATCTTTTAAGAAAAACTCTCATTTAATTCGACATTATACTATTCATACTGGCGAAAAGTCTTTTTCGTGCAGTATGTGTAATAAAACATTCTCTCAGAAAATCAATTTAAATAAACACTATATTGTTCATACTGGTGAAAAACCTTACTCATGCAGCTTTTGTGATAAAACATTCACACAGAAAAGTAGTTTAAATAAACATATTCGTGTTCATACTGAAGAGAAACCTTATTCATGCAACATTTGTGGTAAATCTTTCGCAGAAGAGAGAAATTTAAATGAACACTATATTGATCATGCTAAAAATAAACCTTATTCGTGCAATGTGTGTGATAAATCTTTTATGAAAAAATCTGAACTAATTAGACATGAACGTGTTCATACTGGAGAAAAGCCTTATCCATGCACTATTTGCAGTAAAAAATTCTCTCAGAAAAGTGCTTTAAAAAAGCACTATTTTGTTCATACTGGAGAAAAACCCTATCCATGCAGTATATGCGATAAAGCGTTCACTCAGATAGGTCATTTAAGGTCACACTCTCTTATTCATGCAGTATCTGCGGCTTATTGAAATCACATTCATTTTGCAGATATTTGATTTCATAAAGTGACTGATTTTGCAAACTTGTATATATCTACACTTACAAAAAAAAAGGATTTCAAAATTCAATGAAAGCTAAATTGATTGTTATTTTATTGTAATTGTTTATATTTGCACTTGACATTTTAATTAAACCTTAACTACTTCTTTTGATTATTGAATGGTCTAAAAATATCAGCATATTGTTTGCTTATTAATAGTATTTTAACTAAAAATTTAATAATATTATTTATTTGTTTTTGTAATTTTCATTTAATAAAGTTTTTGTAACTGTCATTGAGGGTCAAAGAGAAATTGAAATATGTTACAAATTTATCTATATGTTACAATATGTTACAAATCTTGTCATTTTGACTGTCTGCTAGCTAACAAATTAAACTTAAATTAATTTTAAAATATAAACTTAATGTTTATTCTTGCTGAATAACAGTGAAACCTCTCGAAAGCATTCTCAGGGGTTACCTCCATTGACTTCAAAATTTTGTCGAAGGTACATTATTTTTACAATGGATTTTAATTTCATTCTGTGTCAGTTCCATGGTGTGGAAATGCCATTAGTGTTGGCATCGTGAAAACTGGATTGATGAATAAAATTTAGCTTCAATAAAAATTATCCTTACTGATATAATTTAGGAAAAAATAAATTTACTAATTATGAATATAAGAACTATTGTGAATAAATGAACAATTGTGTTTTTTTGTTTAAGTTTGCATTTAATTTATATCATAAAAATTAGTTATCTTTAAAAAAGGAGAAGAGGTTTGTTTGAGATGCTAGTTTTTTCTAAAATATAACTTTTTTTTTTTCTTACTTAACTTTTAATTTTAAAAATTAATCATTGATGTCATCGTCTTTAGTGCAGTCTGACTGCTACACAAGATTGTAGTTCTCTTTCAGATATCGACAAAATGAGCTCTCTAAAAAAGAACCTCACACAAATACTTTGAATACATTTTAACTTACTTTTTTGTTTTGTTACTATTTCTTGTTTTGATATTTTTTCTGACGCTCGGTGACTGAGTGGTAGTGGTCCTGGGTTCGATCCTCCGGCCGGGCAAGTTTGACTCAGTTTTTCATCCCTTTAGTGGGTCGATAAATGAGTACCAAGCATGCTTGGGAACTAAACACTGGGGGTTCTGCGTATGGCTGACCACCTGACCGGAACACCTGCTCCTGTACCCCAGAGCCCAAGCTCAGGAAAACTGAGATGGGTACAGTAGGCAATGGCTCTCCATAGGCTGTCGCGCCTCTGAGTTTAGTTTAGATATTTTATCTGGCCTCCTTATTAGACATTTTCCTTATTTGGTGCAGAGGTTTGCCCGGTTGCTGGGAGTGGTTTTAATGGTCCCTCGTAAAGGTTTTTTTTAAACACAAAGTCTATGGAAAAAATTCTGTGCCTACCAAAAATGGTAGTAAATGGAGGTGGTCTTTCCTGGAGGTTTTACTGTATAACATAACCGTGAATTGGTTTAAAATTGCTCGCACATATTCTGGTTTCACTTTTTTTTTTTTAAATAAGTAACAGAATGCATATAGTTTTTCTCATTGAATATATAAGGCATTCAATCTATTCTTTAGTTTTTTACATTTGAAATATTTTTTACCCTTCTGTGGCTGCTTCATTCTATATTTAACTGTATTTAGTAAATGATTATAATTGACATTAAGTAACTTTCATTAATTCATGCACAGTTTTTGCTTGAATTTTTTCACAGTTCTCTTTCTTGTTTCATTTTTTTTCCAACTTTGCTTCTTAAATTTTACATACTAGGTAATGAAACTTATAACCTCCTTATGGGTTTCAGTCTAGAATTATTTGTATGCTACACATCTTTCAAAATGAAAAAAAAAGAAAATTCCAATCAAGAAAAAAAAACATGATTTTTTGAACATAGGATGTCCAAAATATTGATTTTATAAAACAACAGTAAATATTTTATTTATGAACGTTTTTAGCGTGTATTGATATAATGATTCTGCTCTTGCAGATTTGATTTTAAAAAGCAAAATATTTTATAAATTAGTGATTTTATAAGCGGCAGTCACTGAACTTGATCAAAGGTTATTTTTGCACTATATTATGAGTCTTCTCACAGAAAAAGACTTGAAATATTGTATTTTTAACATCCAAAAACGTCATTCATATTGGAAGGAAGCTTTACTCGTGCAGTATGTGCAATAAAACATTTTCAGAGAAATCTTATTTATATGAATTCTCCCTTATTCATATTGAAATCAATTATTTATTAAATATCTATAATTATAATGTTACATATTATAATTTATTATCAAATATATGTAATTATAAACTTTCTTAATGTTTGGTAATTTTTTTTAACATTCTATATCTTTATTTAATTATGGCACAAAGTTTTAACCGTATAATTTTAAATACAATTCATATTGTGTCTACGTGTAAGTTGATAACTCAGATTGTAAAATGATGAATTTATTTGTGAAATGTGTAACTTTATACTTTTATTGTTGAAATATTTATGATTGAAACTATGAAAAGTTTGCTGTTTTTTTAAGAGAATTTCTATTTCATATATTGTTAACTGAAGTTTTACAATTTTATAGAGGCAGAGTTTTGCTCTGGTTAGGTTTGTGAGATTTATTATCCATAGGACCGTTCTCGCTGCATGCAAAATTTTTGCCTGCAGGGAGAATGGTTCCTAGCCTAAAAGAAACTTTATTGTATAAAATTGCAATAACATTCTAATACCTTGTTGACCAAGCTTAGAATTTTTTCTTTTTAAAAAAGTCTTGAGCCATGCAGATTGTTATTTTTTGGACATTTTATGAAATGGCCATAGTGCTCAGCTTTTATTTCTGATGGCCGTCTGCATGAATCTTATATTAGGCAAAATCTCAGTGATTGAGTTCTTATACTAGAAAAAAAAATAATTTCAAGTTAATAATTATATAATAATTGTCTTGTTGGGTAGAAGACATCTGATCAAATTTTTAGTGTTTTATTCCAATGGAAAGGTAATTGGTATGTACTAAGGTATTCTATATTGTCAATTGAACCAATACACTCTTGCCACAAAGTGTGGAGTCGTTTACTCCTATGTCATTCCATAGTATTTGACTTCTCAGCTTTGAAAAAATAATGTTTTAATATGATATAATGTGTTTTAAAGCTAGAAATCTCTTCTATTAAAGTTTATTGTCTGAATATTTTTATTCTTAATTGAGAAAGATTACAGCATAATTCATCCCATTTAAAAAAAGCCAAAATAATAAAATATTAAAACCATTACTGTCATGTCCTGGATTTTAATTAAAAAAAATTTTTGTTAAAAAGCTTTGTTGATTGATTCACATCACTACTCGCACCAAGTTATTCAGATCAGTGATTTGAATCAAGCAATTTGGATCTGTGACTTGAGTAAAATAATTCAAGTCTCTAATAAGTGAATCGGATCACTAATTCAAAACAGGCGAATTGGATGATTAATTTGAATTAAGTAATTCAATTAATTTGTTCGTAAATTCGTTTAAATCAATAAATTTGGATCAGTAAATCAAATTAGGTGATCCAGATCACTGATTCAAATCACTTTTTCAAATCAAAAGCATCAGTAGAGTGATGCAAATCACTGATCTGATTGAAACAATTATCTATCTTATATTAATATATGGTAGTGAAACCTCTACTTCGGTGAATAAAGATAAAAATAACTTATTAATTTAAAAGAAAAACTTTATAAAAAATAAATTTAGCTTATTCAAATTTACAATTCACAGTGAAGAAGAATTCGAGATAATAGTGAACTTGGCTCTTTAATTAACAAAAATATCTTTAATTGATTTATAAAAATTAAGGTGCCTGGCTTGGCTGTGCAGAAAGAGTTAATGAAAATATAAGGCTGAGAAAATCCAATTATAAAAATCAAGGCATATGGTATGGCTGTACAGAAAGAGTTAATGAAAATATAAGACTGAGAAAATGCAATGAACTCAAGATCCGAAACGAGATAGTTACATGATGTTACAAAAGATGAAAACCACATAAAAAATTACCATCTGGGAACCCAAGGCTATGTACAAGAAGGTTCAGAACAACACTGCTTAGCAAGCCAAGGCTCACAATGGGCTGTAACGCCATAAAAGAAGAAGTAAAACTACTACTTTTACAAAATCAGATAGTTAAGCTATGAAATATTTTTTAACTCTAACTAAAATTTTGAAAGTACCGAAAAGGGGCTATAACCTCAGACATCCAGCGAAAAAGAAAATTCAATTTCCATTAGCTAAGAATCCTATTTTGGCTATACTTGTGTAAATTATCACCGTCAGTTACTGTTTGGGAGGTATATACATCGTGGAGGGTATAACATGCTTACGGAGTCTTCCAAATTCATATGTTTTTTGTTTCTTTTACATTTAAATTAAAAGAACTTGTTATATTATATAAACACTACAAATATAATAATATTGAATGGTGCATTTCCTCTAGCTTAAGCTTAAAAATGAATCGGAAGTTTTACGACAAATTTTAACCCCTAGCGCCATCTGTGCTTAGCTTTACATGGTCTTTCATCATCCATCCATACAAAACAAGCCACTCACGCAAAAATTGTTCCGAAAAGCTACGCGCCGCTAGTATACTTCACTCGTGGGGCTAGTAGTTGGTGTAGTCCTAATTCCATCCATTTTCCAATGGATGGTGTTTTCTACACTTGAGAACGCTGCAAGCTCCATACCGCCTATACTTCCGGGTTACTGTTTACGGTGTATTTTAAAGCCATTTGGCTCACAACGTGATCATTGTGCTATGAGATTCTTGCGAAAAGATCTTTGAGATTTGATTACTTAATACTTGTGTTTACACTGCTAACAATAATTGTGTTAACAATGCTAAAGGTGCTAGCACTAATGTAACATGGTGCACAGCTTGCAAGAAGAACAAACAGTAATAAACAAATGGAAAGAGACCAAATCAGGACTGCCAAAAAAGCGAGTTATTCAAAATCTAGCAACCATGTCACCTTTTTTAATAATAAATAACTGAAACAAATTTTCACTCCAAACTCCCCAGAATTACATAATAACATTAATATCATATGAAATACGGCAGATTAGAGCTCAGAAATTATCTAATTTATTTATTTTATTGAAAACAAAATTATTCGTTTGAAAACATCGCCTATCAGAATAACATGTAGTAAGCAGCTGCAAACTTTTTAACCGGAACTAGAGTAGGTGCCGAGCTCGAGATTGTTTACATTCCTACTGAAAGCACCATCCATAATAGAAGTAAGTTAAATAATTTATGAGCTCAAATCTGCCGTATTTCGTAAGATATTGATGTTATTAAGTAATTCTGATGAGTTCCATGAAGTCAAAATTTATTTTAGTTTTTTTTATTGTTGTTGTTATTGTTCATTTACGTCGCACTAGAGTTGCACAATGGGCTATTGGCGACGGTCTGGGAAACATCCCTGAGAATGATCCGAAGATACGCCATCACAATTTTGATCCTCTGCAGAGGGGATGGCACTCCCGCTTCGGTAGCCCGACGACCTGCACGCGAAGTCGAGCACTTTACGGTACCACAGTTTAACGAGGACCAATACCGCACACCCTCGGTCCCTACGCAGACTGATCCAAGTGGTCACCCACCCGCACACTGACCGCAGCCAGTGATGCTTGACTTCGGTGATCTGATGGGAACCGCGTCTGAACGATCAGTCCACTGCGGGACAAACATTTTTGAGATGTATTGTTAATAAAGGTGGAATGGTTGCTAGACTTTGAATAACTCGCTTTTTTAGCTGTCCTGATTTGGCTTCTTTTCATTGGTTTATTACTGTTAGTTCCTTTGCAAGCTGTGCACCATCTTACGTTAGTGTTAGCACCTTTTGCATTGTAAACATAAGTATTGTTAACATTGTAAACACAAGTAATAAGTAATCAAATAACTCGTTTGAAAGAATCTCAAAACACAATGATCACGTTGTGAGCCAAATGGCTTTAAAATACACCAGTAACCCGGAAGTATAGGCGGAACTGTAGAAAACACCATCCATATCGCCTCCTAGAATGAGCAGTTGCAAACTTTCTAACCGGAACTAGAGCAGGTATTGCACTCGAGATTGTTATTGTTTACATTATGGGAGCCAATTTACATTTAACGCCATCCATTACTCTTTGATTGAATCACTCATCCATCAGCCTATGACAGTGGTCGGCAAACTTATTAGCCAAAGAGCCAAATATGAACATTACAGCAATTTTTAAAAAAATTGGGAGCCAAATCTGCTTCTTTCGTCAGCTTTTATTACACTAAATAAGTAGTACACTAAATAAAACTAAATTTAATACTTAATAAGTATTTATTAATGCGAACAATGTGCTTGCATCTCCTTGGAAAGTTTGAGTAAGTCAGGTTTGTATGTTGTTGTTCTTAATTTTAGGCATGGATCCAAGTTCTGATCAATAGGACGACTTCTCAGTTTACTCTTGATAATGTTCATGCTTGAAAAAGATTNCGCCCTCCGTGGATATTTGTGCCAGAGCCGCACTTAAGGAGTCAAAGAGCCACATGCGGCTCTGGAGCCGCACTTTGCCGACCACTGGCCTATGAGATTTATCTATTTAATAATCTGCCGTTGCTAAGTTTAAACCAATCCGGAAAAAGCATGGTCAGTTAAGTAATAATCTTTTGACATGCATTCTTCTTTATAAGCTAAAAGCAAATAAAGTAATTTTTGTTACTGAGGGGAGTGTTAATACTAAGCAATAAGCGTAAACAATGATTAGATAATGTTATTGACAATGTTAAATTTAATTTTAATAATATTTTTGTATCAGTTTTTGTTTCTAATTTTTGATTGATGTATTTAAATTTGTTCTTTAACTGAACTCTGAAAGATTTACTTTTATCATTTAAGATAAAACTTTCACAATTAAAACGGCATATTCAATATTTAATCTCCCCTTATTTTTTGCTGAATAATCATATATAATATCGATGACGAAAACTCCTCTACAAAAAGTTGTATTTATATTATCTATTTCATTCTTAAATAAACAGTTGTTCACACAGTGCTCGAACATACAGAAATTAATGCAATATGTGTAACAAAGCAATTACATTTAAAGGTAGTTTAATTAAGCATTCCCTTCTAAGTAATGGAGATAAATCTTATGTATGCAATGTATGTAATAAAACATTCACACGAAACAACAGTTTAAAAAGACACTATCTTATTCATACTGGACTTAAACCTCATGTATGCAGTGTGTGTGAAAGAACATTTACGCAGAAAACTAGTTTAAACAAACACTATCTAACTCATTCTGAAAAAAAAACTTTGACTGTTACTGCGGATAAACTGTATTCATGTAGTGTCTGTCATAAATCTTTAACGAAAAAATCTCATTTACTTAGACACTATCTTGTGCATACTGGAGAGAAGCCTTATTCATGCAGTGTGTGTAAGAAAACATTTTCACAGACAGCCAGTTTAAAAAAGCACGTTGTAATTCATACCGGTGAAAAACCTTATTCATGTGGTGTATGTAATAAAACATTTTCTCTGAAAGCTCATTTAGACAAGCACTCTTTTGTACATACTGGCGAAAAACCTTATGAATGCAGCGTATGTAATAAAACGTTCTCCCTGAAAACTAATTTGAGTAGACATTCTATTGTTCATACTGGAGAAAAGCCTTATTCGTGCAATGTATGTGATAAGACCTTCACACGCAAAACTCATTTAGATAAACACTATTTTGTTCATACAGGAGAAAAACCTTTTCCATGCAGTGTATGTGATAAAGCATTCAGACAAAAGAGAAGTTTAAATAAACACTCTCTTGTTCATACGGAAGAGAAAATTTTTCCAAGCAGTATGTGAAATAAGTTATTTGTATAGTAAAGGAGTTAAATGTTTATTATTATATTGTTATTATTTAGTTATTATATTCTTATTCTTTAGTTATATTGTTACATGTTATTAAATTTTTTTTTCAAAAAGAAAAAAATATTTGAGTTATTAAAAAGAATATAAATGACAATTCAGAAAATGTGTATTGTTACAATTATGATGAAATATGTAATTTTGTGGGGAAAATAAACCAGATTTAAACATGACGTCTAAAATCGAAGGAAAAAAGAAGGAACAGCATACCATCCATTTACATTGATTTCTAATTGGGATTACTACTGATCTATTACTGATAAATATTTAATAGTCCTCCATTAGTTTGAGTCCTGAGAAGCATTCTGCCTAAACGATTGTTGAAGTAAACTCTACTTTGCACAAATTGTAGATAAGCTTTTCTATGCAGTATACATGAGATAGAACATTTAAGAAGAAAAAAAAGTTTAAATAAACACTTTATTTTCATATTTGAGAGTATATTTGATAACTTTGTAATGAAAAAGAAACCTCAAATGAGAAAAAAGAAAGTGTATAAAAAGAAAATTGATATAGAAACAACGTAGTAAACCTACGATTGTTGAAAGTCAAAGATATGGTAAAAGAAGTCAATTTGTTCTAGTTTCGTATGTAGTAAACATTTTATTAGTTTTTATTGAAATATTAAGATTAAATGTTTACTCTTTTCGTAAGTCAGATTTAATATGACACAGAGCAGGAATTATTTGTAATTGCTTTAAAATACAAAAAAGGAAAATATTATTTTTAATTTAATCTATACTCAGAGGGGATACAAGTGTATCCTCCTTACTCCAATGCTAGCACCCATGCTGAGGTCAAAAAATGCCAACCTACATGTTGCACGATTTGTTACAGTTAGGGTGCACAACAAGTGGCCTACCAACTGTTGATGTGTGACCCGCTGGAGCTTCGGAATGAAATGAAAATTTTTTTTACTTTGTTTATTATTTAAACATTATAAATTTTCTTTAATTAAAATATTTCATTTAAATTCATATTACTCTATAAAAAAAATGCATATATTTTTTGCACTTTCGTTCTGTAAGCTTATAATGCATTATAGCCTTTTATGTTCTGTAAGCTTCTTTAAGAATTTATATTCCCCCCCCCCAATATTTATGTATATATATATATATTTCATAAATTAATTATTGTGAAAAATGGAAACAGTTTCTTATACAAAGTATCAGTTGTTTTAGTTTTAAATAAATTCAAATAATTAAAAGTGTTAAATTTTCTGCAAATATGTTATTAAATTTATTGATAAAAATATTTTGTGATTCATAATATTTATATAAACTTTGCCATGTTTGCCGCTAACATGACGAAATGGGCGTGCAGCTCTTTGTTACTCTACCTGCTGTGCAAGTGGCCCTTCAGTCAAAAAGGTTGTGCACCCCTATGTTTCAGGCTAGGGTACTGACTGTCATCCATCAAGGCATGCTCACCTTTGAGCCGATCAACATCGAATTAAAATGTGGTAACTAGTTTGAATGACCACCATTTAGCAGGGTATATATTTGAAAACATACAAGGACTGATCCAACATTCTATGCAAAACCGATTGAGATAGCACAAGAGCAACAGGACCTGTTGGATGAGACATCTCAACTGCATACTTTTTATTGTTGTTCAAAGAGTTAAAGTAAATATTGTTTGTTATAAAAATTTGATTTATTGAATAAAGATGTTCTTTGTTTGATTATCAACTTAGTAACATTAAAAAAAGAATACATTGTCTCTTTCTTTGTGATTAAAATTTATTTCACAACAAGACTGATTTAGATAGGTCAGCTAAATAAATCATGATTTATTAAAATCTGTGGATTAATAACAACAACAATTAACAATGGATGAATAGTCAATATTTAAACCAATAAAAATGGGGAAATATGCTAAATTATGAATAAAAATGGCTCTATCAACACGTCAAATTTTAACTCCATTTTTGCATTTCAACCAGTTACAGACTGATCATACAGATTGATCTTACTACAAGTTTAACCATTGGTAATTTTCTAACTTTTTATTCTGTTGTACATTTTAAGTCTTATGCACAGAGGCAGACCCTGCGATTGTTTATTATAGTTAGAGTAAGGTTTTAAATTAAAAAAAATAATCATGATGATAATAAAATTTCAATTATTTGTTATGATCATTATTATGCTAATGAAAATGTTCTATTAAAAAATTTCTTAAAAATGTGTAACTGATTTCTAAATGTGTTTCAGTTATACATTTTAACTCTCTCTATATATATATATTATAATTTTATGTTAGAATATTTTGTTGATAAGTTAATCATAGAAAAATGAATGTGATTAATTGGATTTGAAATAAAATCAACTATATTTAAAAAAAATTGAATTTAAGCAGATAGAATGTAGGTCATAATGAGAAGTTATAAATTAGAAGTACTTTTAATTGTTAACAATATGTAATGATAACCTTATATTAAAAAGGAAATTGATAAGTATAACTTTATAATTTAATGATCATTTTATATAAAATTGGAAATTATTTTTATCTGTTGAGTCTCTTAAATTTTTTAATATTTATAAATAATTGAAGTGGAAGATACAGGTAAGTGACATTTTCAGAGGTATTTATTAATCACGGAAAATAATACCACAGATTGGTCGCATCAATATTGGCTTGTTAACTGCAACGGAACTGTTTTTTTTTTTCACTTTAATTTTAACTTAACTATACCACATTAGTTTTGAGTATCCTTCCATGATTTTTATATCAAATTTAATAGGGGTAAATAAAATAAGACAAACAATTATTAGCCCTGACTTCTAAAATATCAATAAAATATTTCAGATACCACTTCTTTTCTTCTTATCCTGACTACCTGAAAATATCACTTACCATTAGGGTCTTAAAATGTTCAGTGACATCTAATGTCTTTCACTCTTTTTTATTTTATTTTATCAAATAAAGCGCGAGCTCTTAAAATTTAAATCTGGAGAAAGAAAACTTTTAATTTTTAACAACAATTGATAATTAATTATTTATCTAAAAAAATATTGAAAAAAAATCACTTAAATTTGCGATCGAAATGGGCTGCAGGTGGCGTAGAGCAGAACTCTCTACCTATGGCAACACTTCACATGCTCTCCCCATAAGCGTGTGGAAAGTCATAGAGAAAGGAAGTACGTTAGTTTCTCTCTTGATTTTCATATGGATTAAAATCTTTAAAGTTGGAAAACTATATAGAACTGAGAACTACATTAAACATAGTTCTAAAGAAAAGTATCACGGAAATTTTAAAAAATATTTTTATTAAATAAAAAGGAAAAATATTAAGAAAAGGGAAAATATCGTAGTACATTCCTATACAACTAAAAAGAGGAGGAGAAGGGCATGAAACCGGTCTCTCCCCAGATGGCGTATTCGAGTGCTGCGATCGCCAATAACTTTCGAAAAAAAGAATTATATTTAAAAAGAAACCTGTCATAAAGGAAAATAACCGTTTCATTTAGCATGTCAAATTGATACTCTGTAATTGCCTTTCGCCAGGCAGTAGATCAGCACGCATGGTAATTTTTACTGCAGTTGAAAATTCTTGAACTAATAATTGAATATTAATTAATTTTTTTATCTCCTTGCACTTCTTTTGCATTAATGCAAAAGCAATTGCATTATACTTCTTATGCATTATTTCTATAGAAAAAAAACATCAGAAGGTTTTTCTATGACTCCGACTACCCCCTCTACTCACAAAGCATATGTAGTAAAAAACCAACTGCCAATGACCTTTTTTTTTTTTTTTTTTGGTGGTTAAACAAAAGAAGGATTGATGAATGATACATTAAACAGCTTTAAAATGTAAACAACAATGTTTAAAACAGGTTAATTAAATTTTTGAGGACTTAGTATGAATGGTGTTTTCAATATAAATGTAAACAACAATCTCGAACTCTTGACTTGCCTTACTTCCGGTTTGAAAGTATACAGCTGGTTACTACAGCTTATTCTGCTAGGTGATATTTTAAAAGAGATAATTTTGTTTGAAAAAATAAATAAATGATTTAATTTCTGAGTTAAAATCTGCTGTATTTCATAAGATATTATTAATATTTTGTAATTCTGGTGTGTTTGTTGATTTCGAAATAACTCGCTTTTCTGGCAGTTTTGATTTGGCAGTATTAATATATTTGTTTTTGGTGCAATCCATTATTGTCCGAGCAGCAAGGTTAATTTCATTTTTCAAAATATCATTTAGGTTTCAAATCATTTCAAATCAAAATATCATTTAGGTTAGGTTAAAATATCATTAGGAAGTTGGTATATTGTTATAATGTTGGTATAGTGTTAATTAAGAAAAACAATGATTTAAAAAAGAAATCAATTTCAAATATATATTAATGAAATTCGATAAATTTTTTAGTTCCAATTTAACAAAATAAAGTAAAATTTAATTTATTATTATTTATTTTAATTTTAAATATGCTTTCTTAAATGTTAAGATGTATAAATACTTTTATACATGAATAAATAAAAAATATACGAGAAAAAAATTTAATCTAAGGGCTCCAAAAATTTTAACGACCTAGGGCCCTGCGTACGCTTAATCCGCCCCTGACGACAGATCTTCAAATGACGATTCTTATTATGATTTTTCTTTTAAACACGTCCCGCAGTGGACTGATCGTTAAGACACGGTTCCCAGCAGATCACCGAAGTCAAGCATCACTGGCTGCGGTCAGTGTGCGGGTGGGTGACCACTTGGATCAATCTGCGTAGGGACCGAGGGTGTGCGGTATTGGTCCTCGTTAAACTGTTCTACCGTAAAGTGCACGACTTCGCGTGCAGGTCATTGGGCTACCGAAGCAGGGGTGCCATCCCCTCTGCAGAGGATCAAAATTGTGATGGCTTGTCTTCGGATCATCCTCAGGGATGCTTCCCAGACCATCGCCAATAGCTCATTGTGCAGCTCTAGTGCGACGTAAATTAACTACAACAACAATCTTTTAAACACAAATAATAAATCAGTTAACAAATACATGAATGCAAGAAATACTATACTCAAGATAGTCTCATAACACAATGATAATGTGGTGAGTCAAATGGCTTCAGAACACACAACAAACAATGATCCGGAAGTATAGGCGGCCAAGCTCTCTGGTGTAGAAAACACAATCCATAAATCAGTTCTTCTACGTAAGCTAAAAGCAGCAAAGCTATCATACTGGTAAAATTCCTAAGTAATGAGCATGGACCCTTATACTCTAGACTCCATGGTAATAAGTAAATAAATTTCGTATTTGCTCTGAATGAATTTTGTTAGTGATATCATTTCTTTTTTAATTAAATCATTTTTTAATCAGTCTTTGTTTGTAATTATTGACTGATGCACATTCATTCTTAATGTTGAGGATATCTCATCTATCATCTTCAGGTTAGACCAAAAACTTTTCTACAATTGAGCTTACTCTCTTCTTTTAATTCTATAGCAAAAAAATATTACCTCAATGGATTCTCGAACAAACGTATGCAAGCAAATGTAATTTAAATTAAATTATTACTGTTTAATCTGACAATAAACAGTATTCATGTTCTGAGTGGATAAGAACTTGATTTTCACGAAGTGTTTGCAATAATTTCACTAAAAGATTATTTTGCAATAATTTCACTAAAGGATTATTTTAAAACAAATCACTTTAAAGTTTAAAAGAATGTCGAAATTCAACAAATATCATCATGTCAGCGGTAGAAAAGTGGTTTAAACTATACATCTGTATCTGTATAAACTGTAATCTTTAAACTGTAGAGAAGCCTTGCTTATGCTATATATGTGAAAAGTCTTAAACAAAAAATTTTATTTAAACAAGCACTCTCCCTTTTGCTACAGTGATAATTCTGAGGCATTCATACATGTATCAAGCTTAACAAATTGTATTTTATTCTAAAGAACATCCTTATTCATGCTATATGTGTGATAAAACATTTGCATTGAACGCCAGTTTAAATTCCCATGATCTTATTGATACTGTTTATGAACCTTATGTATGCAGTATATGTGATAAAACATTTTTACATGAAGAAAATTTTAAGAAACATTCTCTTGTTCATACTGAAAAGAAGATTTATTCTTGCAGTGTGTGTAATAAAACTTTCTCTGAGAAAATTTATTTGAATGAACACTCACTTGTTCATTCTGGTAAAAAAACGTATGCATGTCATGTATGTAATAAAACATTCACACAGAAAAGTACTTTAAATGAACACTCTCTTATTCATACTCAAGAAAAGTTTCATTCATGCAGTGTGTGTAATAAATCTTTTATAAAAAAATTTAACTTAACTAGACACTTTCTTGTTCATACTAGAGAAAAATCTTATTCATGTAGTGTATGTGAGAAGACATTCTCACAGAAAATTCAATTAGTAAAGCACTCTCTTGTTCATGCTGGCAAAAAACCATATGCATGCACTGTGTGTGATAAAACATTCATACACCAAAGAAGTTTAAATGAACACTCTCTGATTCATACGAAAGAGAGACCTCATTCATGCAGAGTGTGTAATAAGTCTTTTACAAAAAAATCTAGTTTAATTCGACACTGTCTTATCCATACGGGCGAAAAGCCTCATTTTTGTAATGTTTGTAATAAATCCTTCACAGAGAAACGAAGTCTAAATGAACATTATCTTGTTCATACTGGAGAAAAGCCTTATAAATGCAGTGTATGTGATAAAACATTTTCTCAGAGAACTAATTTAAACACACACTCTCTTATTCATACTGGACAAAAACCTTATTCATGCAGTGCATGTGATAAGACATTTACACGAAAAAGTAGTTTAAGTGAGCACTCTCTTGTTCATACCAGAGAAAAACCTTATCCGTGCAATGTATGTGGCAAAACATTCACCCAAAAAGGTAGTTTAATTAAACACTCTCTTATTCATTCTGAAGAGAAACCTTATTCATGTAGTATTTGTAATAAATCTTTTACTGAGAAAAGAAGTTTAACTGTACATAATAGTGTTCATACAGGAGAAAAGCCTTATAGATGCAGTGTATGTAATAAGACTTTCTCTCAGAAAAGTAATTTAAAAACACACTCCCTTGTTCATACAGGAGAAAAACCTTATTCTTGTAGTGTATGTGCTAAGAAATTCTCCCTTAAAGATCATTTAACTAAACACTTTCTTGTTCATACAGGAGAAAAACCTTATTCTTGCAGAGTATGTGATAAAAGTTTCTCGCAGAAAAGAAGTTTAAATAAGCACTCTCTTCTTCATAGTTGAGAAAAATCTTACGTACTGTGTAGGTGATAAATCTTTACATAGAAAAAGAGATTCAATTAGCATATTTATGATGAGCATAATAATATTTATAAAGGAGAGAGTTAACGTTATTTTTGTACCTCAGTCTCGGTGAGTTAACATCACAATATCAGCTTGTCATAGTCATGATAATCTTTGTAATTTAATATAGTGGATATCTTAGATATTATAAAAGCTAAGTGTGAATGAACTTTCACATCCAAAATTACATTCTTTTCTCCTTCAAAACCAAATTAAAAAAATTATGCTCATTAGTTTCTTGTAGTAAACATTTCGGAATAAACATATTTTAAATATTATACTAAAGAACAAAATTTATATTCCGATTGTGGTTTATCTTTTATTCAGAAAATCCTTGTGCAATAATCTTAAAGCAAGGTTTTTTTTACAGGGAATAAAAAAAAATTGTTCACAATAGATAGAAATTTTATTAACACAATATGTGCGATAAAATAATCACAGTACAAGCAAGTTTAAATCAACAATCTATAACTCGTACTTTAGATAAACCATATAAATGTAGTGTATGTGATAAAACATTCTTACATAACGGAAATTTGAATGAACACTCTCGAATACATACTCGAGAGAAGCCTTATTATTGCAACGTGTGTGATAAAACATTCAGACAGAAATCAAATTTCAATCGACACTCCATTTTTCATACTAAAGAAAAACCTTTCTCATGTAATGTATGTAAAAAAGCATTCATGGAGAGAAGTCATTTGAATGAACATTCTCTTGTTCATACGAAAGAAAAGCTTTATTCATGCAGTGTGTGTAATATGTCTTATACAAAAAGATTTCATTTAAAAAGGCATAGTCTTGCTCATAATCAAGAGAGACCTTATTCATGCAGTGTTTGTAAGAAAACATTCAAACTTTCAGACACTTTAAAAAGACATTATCTTATTCATTCTGGGGAAAAGCTATATTCATGCGGTGTGTGTGAAAAAAAATTTGCTAAGAAATGTCATTTAATTAGGCACTCTCTTATTCATACTGGAGAAAGACCTTATTCATGCAGTGTTTGTGAAAGAACTTTCACACAGACAGCTAGCTTAAAAAAACATTACCTTGTTCATACCGGAGAGAAGCCTTATTCGTGCAGTGTGTGTAATAAAATGTTCTCACTGAAAACTAATTTAGACAAACATTCTCTCGTTCATACTGGAGAAAAACCTTATTCATGCAGTGTATGCGATAAGAATTTCACATCAAAAAGAAATTTAAATGAACACCTTCTTGTTCATACTGGTGAAAAGCTTTATTCATGCAATGTATGTTTTAAAACATTTAAACACAAAAGAAATTTAACTACTCACTCCCTTGTTCATACTGAAGAAAAACCATATTTGTGCAGTGTATGTGATAAAGCATTCACAGAGAAACGAACTTTAACTGAACATTCTTTCATTCATACGGGAGAAAAACCTTATCCATGCAATGTATGTGATAAAGCATTCAGACAAAAAAGAACTTTAAATAAACACTCTCTTGTTCATGCTTTGGAAAAGCCATATTCATGCAGTGTGTGTAATAAAACGTTCACACTGGAAACTCATTTAAATAAACACTGCCTTCTTCATACTGAACCTCATTCATGCAGTGTATGTAATAAGACATTCACTAGGAAAAGAACTTTGAAAGAACACTTTCGTATTCATACCGGAGAAAAACCTTATTCATGCAGTTTATGTGATAAGACATTCACACACAAAAGAAATTTAACAGCACACGCTATTTCTCATACTGGAATAAAGCCTTTCTCGTGTGATGTATGTGATAAAACATTCACCCAGAAAAAAAGTTTAATTAAGCATTCTCGTCTTCATACTTGAAGGAAATCTTATTGTTATGCAATCTTTCTGTTTTTATGCAGTTTGTATCACAAATTCTCTGTCAGAAGAAGAGTTTAAAGGAAAAATATTGTTGATATTAGAGAAGAATCTTTTTAATGCAGTGTTGAACAACAATTGCAAACTATTCATTTAAATAAACATTTACTTATGTCATATTCAATAGAGACCTTTTTCATCTAATGTATTTAAGTAAATCTTGTGCAAATAAATTCTATTTTAAAAAACATGTGTGATTCTTACTAAAAAGGTCAGTTTTTTAATAAAAAAAGACACCAGAAGCTGGATAATAAAATTTCTAAGAAATTTTTAAAATAAAATAGATTTAAGTGTAAGTGTCTGTTTTAAAAGAGACTGATGAGCAACATCAGTTTTTAAATAGAAACCTACGTAATTTAAACATTTACAGTACATTGTTTTAGTGGTCACCTTAGACAGGTGGTCAATTTATACAGAGGAATAGTCATTGTGTGTCAGCCAGGTAGCTGAGCTGTTAGCGCGCTTGTTTGCGGGTTTGAATCCTGCTCTGGTCATGGAGTTTCTCTATGTGTTGTCTTCTGTTGTGTGTGAATATGATCAACCCTATAAACAGGTTTGGGGCAGTGTGGCGTGACTTTGGTTCACAGGTGCCCACTGGGAAACGTGAAATGAGTAACAATTCCAGCATCTTCTAAGTTGAATAATGTTCAGTGCCTGCCATTTGAAAAAAAAAAAATTTTTCATTGTGTTTTTCTATCATTTCTTATATTATGTTACTCTATTTTTTATATTACTAATCACAATAAAAATTAATGCATTTAAATTTTTAACATGATTTTAAAATTTTCTTTATTAATTTGTCCCGTATATCATAAATGAAATTAATAATCAGAATATACATACTAGAATTTGTAGAATAAATTGAATTTGGAACTGATTAGAAAACAAATAAATATGCATAAAGAAAGTAAATAAATATGCATATTTTGTTAGTAATCTATGAAAGATATTTATTATATATAATTTCTTAAAAGACAGTGCAGATGATATATGTAGTTAAAAACTTAACATTATATTCAACTATATTTTGTTATGTCTGCTTACAAACTGATGGTTAGTTTCTAATAGTATTTAACAAATCCATGCAAATTCTAATACATGATTACATAGAAAATCTCATAAAATAATTTTTGTTGAACAATTTACAAAAGGTTTAAAATTGGATTTAATATCACACATATACAAATTCGAATTACTGTTTCAGTGATCAATATAAAAGACAGACAGGTGGTGGTCCAGTTACACTTTTTTATGCAATATGATTCTTGATAATAGAGGTTAACTTACAAAGGTTGTCAGCTTTAACTATATGTATGTGAATAAATAACTTTTTATTTTTCTTGAAACATTTATGGCCTAGGTCTAAGAATTTTTATTATTATTTCTTTTTTAATATATTATTGCCACATATAGAAGCATTTCCATTTAAAGCCTTGTGAACTGAAGTTGTAGAATTCTACATATCTGAACTCATAGTTTAACTTATTTTTCTAAAACTAGTTCATCTTTATTGTTAATCAAGGACAAGCATAATTTTTAAGTGACCTAAGTTAAAATTTACTGTGGGCCCTATCCTTAAAACACAAAAAGTGTAATTTTTAGTTTTTGTCCTTTTTTAAACAGAAATTAAAAAAAATATTAAGTAAATATTTTAACTTGTTTATTTTTGCCTGTTTTTCTGTAATTTATAATGATCTGTTTTGTATCAGTTTGAATCATGTATTTGTATGCATGATAAAACAGTTAAAACACAGTCTTACACAGAATACTATAAAACAGTTAAAACACAGTCTTACGATTAATTTTTAATAATAGATATAAAAGTTAATAATATAAAAGTTAAGTTTAATAATATAAAAGTTAACTAAATATATACTATAAATCCCAGTGTGTAAGTCGACCCCCTACTTTTGATTACGTGATAGCAAATTTCTAGTGTGTCAGGTGTATTAATCAACTAAAATTAAACATTTTTGAAATTTCAAGAATTATTAAGAAGANTTACGATTAATTTTTAATAATAGATTTCAAACTTAATTATGTTTATAAAAGTTAACTAAATATATACTATAAATCCCAGTGTGTAAGTCGACCCCCTACTTTTGATTACGTGATAGCAAATTTCTAGTGTGTCAGGTGTATTAATCAACTAAAATTAAACATTTTTGAAATTTCAAGAATTATTAAGAAGAAAAAACTTTCTTCAAGTTAAAAAATATATCACATCGTTCTCTCTGTATATGATACATTCACTCTCAAATTAAGATGTTATGAGGCACCCCTTCAAATAAAGCAAGATAATTTTTTTCTGAACGCAATTTAAAGTAATGATTCTATAAGATATTTTTATATGTAAAGAAAATCTGATGAGAGAAAATTCAAATTTAATAGTATCATCAAACTTATTAAAAATGGTTTGGAACGGGTTAAATTGATACAGATTTATTCATACCTATCTCATTGCTTATAATTTATCAATATTTCAGTCCGACTTTATTACCATTGTACGAGTAGATTCCCTGATTTTAGTAAAATTTTGGGGGATTAAATACCGGTCAACTTATAACACCGGGATATAGGTACTAAAGTTCTTAAATTATTTTTTTAAAAGTTAAAAAAAAATTATGTAATATACATTTTTTAAAGTAAATAAATTCACAAATCCCTCTTCACTTTCTTTGAAAGTTTGATGAGAAAGTTGTGTATTGAAGGAGAAATTTTTTTTCAAATTTGTCCAAATGTCAAGAGTCTGATTTAAAATTCATACGACATAAAATTTAACCTCTTATTCTTCTTTTTACCCTCCAAAACAAAAGTATCAAATTTGAAATAACATTTTGAATATTATAACAATTTAATATTTTATTTTAATAGACAAAAAAATGATTTTCTTTTAATAAATAAGATTTGTCTATTTTCATTGCTAAAAGTGTCAGGAAAATACATGTATAGTTTGTCTATGGTAAGAACTCCCCCTGCTATTAAGTCTGAGGCTATGGAAACAAGAATAGCACATTTCAGGGAGGGTCGCGTCTCTTTACTCTTGAGCTAACACAGTAGACCGAAGATAAAGATTCCCTTTCTCTCGTCGACCCGAGCCAAAACCTGTCCTAAACAGTGACCCCACACCCCTACTTGAAATAGTTATACCTCATTGCCATATTCACCACCACGGGTCCAGACGAATGGCTAGGGGAGTTTTTATTTTAGACAAACTATATATGATCGTGTATATATATGTATGATCATGCCTATATACAGTGTTTTCACTACAGCGTGAGAATCTCGCATATTTTTTCCTTTTCTCGCATTAAAAAATTATTACCGCGAGAAATTCGCGCATTCTATAAATCAATTTCAAAACTCACGAATTTCTCGCATTTTGGAAAAGGCTTCGAATTACGCCATTTAGAATGAAATCTGTTTCACTTTTCTTCCTGGATCCTTAATTATTTTCAACATCTGCCCCATTATCTAGCTTCCCTATTTACCAGTACTGTTCATAACCTTTTCGAACTACAGAACACAAACACGGAACCCTTTTCAGAACACATTTCTCTGCAACCTCTTGTTTACCGTAGGTAAGGTTTCTTCATGTAAGACGTTCAAATTTTTTATGCACTTATGTAAGATGGACAAATACCTTGTAAAGGCAAAATCTTCTATGATGATGCACCAAAAATATTCAATGCTTTAAAAAATAGAAGACGTTAAAAATGTATTATAATTAAAGAAATGATTTTTTTTCAAGAGTTTTTGTGTTTTTTTAGTTTTTAGAAATCTCACTTAACTTTTTGAAATCTCACCCTGTTTTTGAGAAAGGGTGAGAAATTCTCACCCATTTTTTTTCTGTGATGAAAGCACTGCTATATATATATATATATGAATAGTCTACCTTTTTACCTGATCTGTTCCTCAATAGCATATTATGTGTCTGAACTATCTGGTTTATGTCAATGTTTAATAAAAATTTTTTTTTTCATTATGATTCCAAAGGATTACCATATTGAAATTTGGCACGAAAATTGCTAAAAAGAATTAAATAAAATATTTTTTTGGAAAAAAAATTATAAAAATTTCATTAAAATGTAATTTTTAAAAAAAATTTATTTTAATGCATATTTTATAAAATATCTTCAAAAACTGAACAAAATGACATAAAATTTAACTCTCTGGGGCCAAATAGTTCTCAAGTCACAGCTGTTTGAAATGTATGAAATTTTTTAAAAAAAGTGAGAATTTTTGTATTTTTTATCGAATCTGTTAGTTTTATCTCTGAGTCAAAAGTTTAAAAGACGACATTTTGACCATTGGTTGATTTGGCATGGTATATATGTATGCACACACACAGAAAAAAATTGGAAAGATTTCTTTATTTATCTCCAACATCAAAATGTGGTAAAATCACATGCTTCAACAATAAAACTTAATTGACAAAAATAGAAATTATTCATTCAAAATTAAACAAACAAAAACTGACTAGTTTAAATAAGAAGTAAAATTTAAATAAATATATATTTTAAAAATAATTGAGTACAAATTTCATTTTTAAATAATCTCATTGTCTGATTAACAAAAACATGAACACAAGAAAAAAGTAAGATTTTTGAACACTTATATTTTAGACTTATTTTCTACTAAATTTATAACCTAAATTTAGATAAAAATATTGTTTTTTAGATAAAAATATTTTTAGATAAAAATATTGTTTTTATCTAAAAAGTCAATTTATGAATTTTTTACATGAAAAGATTTTTCATTTAAAAACTATGTAATAAACAAGAAACATGATGAATGTTTAAGACCTAAACAGATTCAGAAAATTTCTTTTAAAAATTTTGATTGATCTGCAAAACCGAAAAGATTTTTGAGAATCTTTCAAGAAAGACAGCACCACATCATCTTAAGCAAACTTTTTATAATAAACTCCTTACATAAAAAAAGTAAATAAAAATAAATAGTAATATGAAGTTTGAACAGAAAAATAACCAGATTAAGGCATCAAATGCATTAAAAAAGATTATTAAAATAATTTCGTGCAAAATTTTGATGTTAAATAACTAGTATATAAAATGGCTTTCAGTTGAGAATTTAAGAACATAAAATCTATCAATAATTAAATATTGTCAAAATGGACCTTTCCTCGAAACAAGCATATAAAATACAACTGATGATTGATTCTCGGTGATTAACTTTATAAAAAATAATTGTTCTTTATTATACAATAAAAAAATATACTATAAGCAAATATTTAAAAAAAATTAAGTACAAGTAATATGAAAAACTACCATTGCAAACAAATCAATGGTTATTTTTCAAAAGTTATAAACACATCTATATGTTTCAAACAACAAATCTGAGGTAATCAATAAAATCTCAATTAAAAATTACACTAAACTGAAACAAGAATTTTTGTTAACTCTTGTTTGTTCGTTTTTTCTATGGCACGGAAAAGTAATAAGAATTTTTGACTCTTTATTACATTAAAGTGAATCAAAAACTTTTCTCAGTTCTTTTTTATTAACTTTTCCCATAACATTCCGTGGAATTTCTTTCACATTTTTTATGACAGTTGGAACAGCATATCCTGCTATGTAACTCTTGCACCAAGCTCGGAGCTCATCATTTGCAATGTGTTTTCCTTCATTAAACATCAGAACAGCTGCTACCCTTTCACCCCAAACATCATCATCAATACCTAAAACAGTGCATTCTTTAATATCAGGGTGACGAAGCAAACAAGATTCCACTTCCAAAGCACTTATCTTGTATCCACCACTTTTGATAATATCAACAGATGTTCTTCCAAGTATCTTAAAACCTCCTTTTTCGTAACATGCTGTATCACCCGTCTGAAACCAACCGTCTTTTGTAAAAGATTCAGCAGTGGCTTCTGGTCTATTATAATACTCGTTAAAAACATTAGGACCTCTTATCATAAGCTCACCAGATTTCCCTTCGCAACCAGGTTGTATTTTAACCTCTTTATCATTTCCTATAACTAAGTCACTTGATTCAGAAGCTTCACCAGGTTTAACAATTTTAACCTCCACTTCAGGCAAAGGATTACCTACACTACCAGGCATTCTTAAACCTCTCAGAGGATTAGAAGTGGCCATACCAATTTCAGACATTCCGAATCTTTCGAGCAGAGTATGACCGGTGATACTTTCCCAGCGTTGAAAAACTGGTACGGGAAGCGAAGAAGAACCAGATGACATTAATCTCATTGTTTTTAAACACTTGTCTCTGGAAGAGCTTTCATTATAACCACTGTTATTGTATTCTTGAAGTAATTTAGCATACATGGTTGGGACTGCAAAAAACAGGTTAACACGAGGTTTTGTACTATCCAGGTTAAGAAAATACTTCCATGCTTCAGGTGCATCAAATTTAGGTTGCATAACTAGTGTACCTCCAGATCTTAAAGGACAGAGAAAACCATTCATTATACCATGAATATGGTGCAAAGGAAGAGAAAGCAAAATTGAATCTTTGGAATCAATCTCCCAGCTCTTGACAACAGCAGATATCTGTGAGAATAGGTTACCATGAGTTAAAACAACTCCTTTTGGACGACCTGTGGTACCACTAGTATAAATAATAAGTGCTCTTTTATTTTGGAAAGAAGAATCCCACGAAAAAAATTCTGATTTTAACAAATCTGATTTACTAACGGAAGATGTTGATGCAAACACATCTCTATCAACACAAAGAAAAGAGGATTTTAATTTTGTTGCTATATTTTGCATAGGATCTATATATTTTTCATTGGCAATAACTAATTTGCTTTCTGAATTTTCAACATAATATTCTAGCATAGCGGCTGGATGACTTGGGCATAAGGGGACAGCAGCATTACCAGTGATCCAGCATGCTAAAAACACTGATACATATGTAGCATCACTAGTGCAAAGGAAAGAAACACGCTCACCAGATTGAGCAGGTAATATTTTTTTGATCTTTTGTGCTATTAAATAGCTTGCAGATAAAATGTCATTGTATTTATAGGCTCCATGAGTATCATAAACAGCAACGTTTTGGGAATGTTCAAATAAGCTCTCATAAAATGGTTTAAAATTTTGTTTCGAGTAACGTCTGTAAGTGGAAAGAATTCTGTCTTTTCCACTACATGAAAAATAGCGAAGAAATGTGCTCATTTTTAATTCAAATGAATTATTTGAATACAAAATAATCCTTTTAATAATACAACGAAAGAGGTATTTAAATATTGATAAGATCTTATCAGCGACCGATATACTTATATCACAGTTTCAATAAAATATATAACAAGAAAGAGATAACTTATAAGTTAACTAAACGAAGAAAATTTATCTTATTTATTTATCTTTACAGCTTGAAATTAAAAGTAAATATTAGCATTGGCACAGGTGATTTATTTTGTTACTGAAGCAAATTCAATTAAGTAGATAAATAGAAGTTTAAATAAAATCTAAGTAGATGGCATGATAAAAATAAAAAGTAGAAATCCTGGCCAAGGCTAGCAGACGTAAGTAAATAAATAAAAAGTGAAAGTTATAGTGAAACGTTTTGAACTAAACAATTTTATACAAGAAGAAACAAAATTTTATACAAACCATACCTAAAGTAAAAATAGCTTAACAATATAATATTAACACATCATATTTCGAATCATAGTGATTATAAATGGTTTTGATGATTTATTCCAAACATTGCGATCGGTGCTGGTGAACTGAAGTAAAGGAAAGAATGAGAAACCGAAACTTTTCAAATGTTTCCCGCCTCTAAATTGAAAACATTATTCTTTCGAATCTTTTATGGATTAAATTTAAATTGTGGACTAAACATAGATTTATAAAATGAGTAAAAATCCTAACAAACAAGTTTTAGATTATATGGTTCAACAAAACAGGCCTTATAGTGCTATTGATATTTTTAATAATTTACACAAAGAAATAGGTAAAACTGTTGTTCTAAAAGCTTTAGATCATCTTGTAAGTGAAGGTAAAATCCGAGAAAAAATGTATGGCAAACAAAAGATTTACTTTGTTGATCAAAAGGAATTTTCTGAGTTTGAAAACGTTGACCTTAAGAAAATGGATTCAGACATAATCCAGCTGACTAACACTTTGAATGAACTTCAACAACAGCTTAAAGCAGCCGAAAGTTCATTAAATGGCCTGAACAAAAGTATGACTACTGAAACTGCTGAATTAAAACTAAATGAGGCTAAAAAGGAAATTCCTCAACTAATGAGTAAATTACAAAGTTTAGAATCGAATACATCTCGAATTGGTCCAGAAGAAAAAGAAACTCTGATGAAAAATAAAGTGAAATGCTCGAAAGAGTTACAGAAAAGAAAGCGTTTAGCGAGTGATATGTTAGATGCCATACTAGAAGGTTACCCAAAAGGTAAAAAACAATTGTATGAAGAAATTGGAATTGAAGTAGATTGATGATTAGAATAACTTTTATAAAATGTAATAGTTTCTGTTCATTAAAATATATTTGATGCATTTTTTATTTTTGCAAATGGAAAAGTATACTTCCCAACATTATAAATATTCTTTATATTATTCAAAGACAGATTTTATTAAATTCATTGCACTATTCAGCTATTTATGTATATACTAGAATTTACACTCACATTCATATAATGTAGAGCCCAGTCAGCTTTTGAACAGTGAGAAATTCACATGTTTTAGAAAATTAAAACTGGAGCAGATTGAAAAGAAAAAAAATATTTTAATTTAATGTATGCTGAATTAAATTATGCATTGAAAAGTTGTAATATGTGATCTAGTAATATTTGTGAAAATGTATTCATCCCGTAATTTAATACTGTGAAAAATATCAATTTCAAAACATATATATTATTAAAGAATTATTATTAATATCTTATTTTAAGGTTAGGGTTATGAATCGTTTACTTACAGTTGATACAGCAAATGAACCGCAATGGGTTAAAATATACATATATGCAGTAACAGTTTTGTTCTAAAAAACTGAGGACAATTTCTTTATCGATTTTTTCTTGAATCTCTTTAAAATTAGTTCCATATTGGTAACTATTTGTGCCAGCTGTAGTCATCATTCTTATACTTGCAAAAATTTATAAATAAAAAATATGTAATAGCTTGCTAAAGAGTGGTTACAAGTTATATTTTGTGTTTGAGTTCGTCTCTTTTCCCGTTTAGTTTCTTGCATTTTACTCTGTGATTGTCACCAGAATTTGGTGCTGGTTCTCGCACTGACACCGATTTTTAAATATTTCTGAAAAATTACTTGCTATACTTTTATTTATTAAATCTTAACAGTTTTTTTTATGCCAAACTTAATGTTAGTTCAACTGCAGATTTTTGGATATATTGATCTAACATCGTGGCATGCCAGGCTTATTTTTATTACAAAGTATTGATTTACATTAAGATAGCTTATAACATCATTTCCACATTGTGTTTATTTAAGAAAAGGAATTTTTCTAATATTTTTATATTAAAATTTGTAATTTTTAAAATTACCAGGTTTGCATTAAAGCAAATATAAATAAACGGTTGACAAATTTGAAATTTTTTAATTATACAAAGTATAATTTAAATCAAATTCATAATTGACATATTGGAACCTGTGTGCTTCAATTATGTTAATACTTAGCTTTCCTTTATACATTATAATAATTTCATTTTTATAAGTTACATTTCCGGTATGTTCTTTTTTTATAGTTGCCTTTTTCAAATAATGCTAAAATATTTAAAAATATGTTGATTGTGTAAATTATTTGTTTATATGTTAATGGCTAAAAAAAATTCTATTGTCTATTTTTCTATTTCTTGTTGAAAGGATTTTAATTAAAATTTTGTCTTCACAAAAAGATTTTTCATTTTATAAAAGTATGTTGCATTCATGATTATCAGAAATGATTGTGCTCCGGGAAAATTTTCGCTAACCGTGATCCAGAAATCCAAGGTCCAGAAGCTTCAAGAAATCGTCGATAACATGTATGAAAATTCCTGTTTGTTTTATTTATAAATATTAGAAAATTTATACTTAGGATCTCATTCATTTGTAAATATTTTTTTGGTAGAATAGTAAATGTGATTAAGAGATAAAAGTAAACTTATACATACATAATTATTCATTTAAATCCGCGTACCTGGAAAATCATGAATTTCGATATTGAACAAAATAAGTTATGAAATGTCATGATTTTAACTATTTTTTAAAAAAAAGTCATGGATTTAGGTCTCCGAATTGGTCTAATTTTTAAAATGGAATCCCCTCCCAAATTTCATGGTGTTTCGAATATCTGAATTTCTAACAAAATCCCCACTCACTGTCATTTTTTATTAAAATATGAAATGTTTTTATCATGTTCTTTAAAAATTATGGTGTTTTTTCAAAAAATGAAGGAAAAAGCATAATTTCTAGAGCGAATTATCTTTTAAACTTCTGTAATTTCAGAATTTTTATTATTATTTTTATTTTATAAATTTAAAATTCTAGCTGAAGCAAGCCAGTCATTGGCGAATTTTTTAAATTCCAAAATGAGAACAGAAAAGTCAGGAGTATTTCTGTCCTTTCCGATGAACAAGAAAAGTATCTTTAGAATGTAATACTGCAGAAAAAAATTATTTGCTTTTGTATTTTTTTCAGCTGTTTTATTGCTTCAACTCTTTCTTTACTCTGTTTTTTAAATTTAAAGTCTATAAATGTGAACATGCAGAGTATAACAGTGTTGATTATACTTATCATTTCAATTAATGTTATTATAATGCTTTTTTAAATTTATTGTTGTGTTTTTGGCCCAGAAAATAGTAACTTCCTGAAGTCATGAAAAATTGTTGGAAGTAGTCATGGAAAGTCATGGGTTTGAAAATCTAAAATGTATCAGATACCCTGTATATATAAATAATTTAAAATTTCATGTTTTGAAAATATAAAAGACATAAATTTTTTTGATATGTATTATTAATGATTTAACTCAAGACATTTTATTTTATAACCGTCGTTGAACAGTCGACCCAATTTTATGGGTTTACGACTACTAATTTTCAACTCCGTAGCCTTGTAATTTTGAAGCCAATCCAGAAGACAAGGGAACTCCGAGATCGAGTATTGGGAGAAATTTGCCTTTGTGGAGGACTTTTTTGATGGAGCTAACCTGAATTTGCGCTACATGGAGAGGAAGACCACGAGAACCTCCCATGGTTAGCCTGATGGCAAGGGAACTCTAACCCATGATCCGTCTACTACTGAGGATATTTTACGTTGGCACTGTGATTGGTGCAAGCTGGATGCGGCTTGGACAAGCAGACTGGGATTGGAACCTGGTTCCTGGGATCCGAATCTCACAATCACCCTTGCTAAAGTGCAAAAAAGGAAATTAACATTAAGGGGACCAAACTTTTAACTGCTCTCTTGACTAAACTATTGGGACTACAATTTTTAGATTGCGGCTACCCCCCCCCTATTTTGAGGGTCAAAAATCCAAGTAAGTAAAAAAAAATTATAATAATAATGTACGTTTATTCAGAAAGTTAGATTTTTTGTTTGATTTCGTAACTTAATATTTCTCCCTCATTTATTTGCATATTTGAAGTTACTCTCAGAAACCATTAAGATTTGCACTTAGTACGCAAAAATCTAATTTTCTCTGATCGAAACTGATTTACTCTTCATTGGATATCTGATAAATTGCCTCTCTGTTTTTGAAGTTTTAGTATGTTGAACAAAAATAACTATTATTGTATTTTTTTCAGTGATTAAGTTTTAATAAATAATAATTATTGAAACTTTTTTGCTAAAATTATTAACTGTTTTAGCTATATCAATAATTTTAAATAATATTAATTATTATTGATACATTTTAACAGATGATTTGGCGGGTAAATATAAAAAAGAAAATTCCAATTTAAATCAAATAAATCCGTTTTTTAATTCATTAGGATTTTTGCCAATCCTGTTCGTCATTAAATTTATGTTTAATTATTTATGCTATTGGTGGTAAATTTAATGATGCTAAAATGATAAACTAAAAATTTTTTTTTTCACTCTGCGTATTTGCTGCCTGCAATGTGAAATTGATCCAAAAGTAAAAAATTCATAAGCTGGGAAATCTAATGCCCTGCAAACTTAAATGAAGAAACACCCATTCAGCGTATTGCAATTTATTGTTGTTCAATTTACTAAATGCAGTATGCATCATCGAGAAAAAATGTAACGTTCCGCATCGAATTTCCAATTACTAATACGCTATGTGACTGAAAAGTCATTTATATCAGTTGAATAGTGTGATTGAAAAGTTATCATATATTATCAATTTGTAGCATCTCTATTTAATTTTAGGGTGATTGTACGATTTACGAATGTCATGCTTGCAGAGTTTAGCAACGGATTACTCAGTTAATAAAAATCAAGCAATTCTAGTTATTTTTGTGAGAAAAAAAAAAAACTGGTGTTATTTGCATTTTGCAGTTTATCCGGGATTTTTAATTTAATGCCCATTTTTGTGTAAAAGTTTTAGCAATATATTATTTTTTTGAGAAATTTTTGTATATCAAAATTTACTGTGAGAAAATAACTTCAAAAGTAAAGATACTATATATAAAAAAGAAAACATTAATTTTGAAGGAACTTTCTTTCTCCTTAATAAAAAAAACCATTAAGATACTTGTTTACAACTCTTTGTGGTATATATTTATTTAACATGACACATACTATTTACAATTAAGCCGACCTAGTGGCCGAGTGGTTAGCGTGCCTGACTGCGGAGCCGCTGGTCGCGGGTTCGAATCCTGTTCAGGGCATGGGTGTTTCTTCCTCTCCACCGCCGTGGCTTCGCCACAGGTGCCCACTGGGTAACGAGAAGAGAGTAGCAGTTCTGGCATTCCTGTGGCCAATGGGACGACCCCCAAGTGCCCGCCATTAAGAAAAAGAAGAAAAAAAAACTTTTTTTACAATTCAAATTTACGTTGCTTTACAGTACTTATCATGATGACATTTTTTTACAGCTAAAAAAATTTATAATAAAATAGCTCACGTAGAAATGGTTTAAAAAATTTCTAAATGGTTTTCCTACGATTTGCAGAAATTTTAAATACTGTGATAATTTGATCTGCTTATCACCTGGCAGCTTTTAAGGGTCATTAAATGCAAATTTAATGATTTTGTAAGAAGACTGCTCCTTATTTTCGAACATAATAAATTCATCCTGAAAAATAGTCTTTCTACAGAAGCTGTAGATGTGGGCAGTAATCAGTTTTGCACTTCTCAGTATTACACTTAGGGTTAATAACTTCATCAGTTTTGAGAATTAATCCCAGATAATTTTCTTCCTTTCCATCATATGCGATTTTTATATAGCATGAATACGAATCGCGAATGTGTGATTTTTAAATAGCTTGAATACGAATCGTCATATGTGATTATTGAATCACATGAATACGAATCGCTATGTATGATTTTTAAATCGTGTGAATTTGAATTGCGATGCGGGATTTTTAAATCGCGTGAATACGAATCGCATTGTGTGATTTATAAATCGGGTGAAAACGAATCACAAGGTATGCTTTTTAAAACGTGTGAATACGAATCACAATATGTGATTTTTAAATCGTGTTAATGCAAATTAAAATGCTTAGGGTACGTGTCATTAAACTTGCACATGTTCATGGGACTTACGAATTAAGCATGTGTATTGAATTATTTTTCTGCAAAAGGGCCACATG